AAACACTGAAGTTGTTTAATCTAGTAAATCAAGTATTTGTTAAGTGCTTGTTCCAAATCTCCACCTTGATATACACTGAAAGAAATCCAGATTAGAAGCAGAGAGCTTCCCTGTTTCTCAACAATGTGAATGAAAGTTGAGACTATTCCCAGAGACTCACCCAACCAGCTACACCACCATCAGCCATTCAAACTTTGAAACACTCAAATAAACCACCAGTGTCTCAAAAGAAACTCACACGGTAGTATCCCCTAGCTCTGAAATGTCTTTTAGCCCTCTCCCAGGTCCCTCCTTGCCACTCTTCCCACTTTAGAAGGGCCACGAGCAGGCATGAAATATAAATGATGAAAAACACCTGGTTTTCTGAGGGTGAGACAATTTAAACAGATACATCGAGGCACTGAAAAGCATTCATACCTTTAAAATAGTAATTCTTCCCTCAAAATATATTCTAAGGAGATCATGTGACACAAACACAATGCTATTAGCCATTGTAAACACATCCCATAAATTATGGAACAAGTCCCCTGCCCCTAATTAAAGAAATTCTTGCTTGCTAGAGTTATGGGCAATTTTCATGTTATAGTGTTTTACACTTTGCTAAATGTTCTGTTTATCTTTATTTATAAAGGACACATATTATGCTTATAATTAATAAATTAAAGCATAAATTTAAAATGTAATACAGCTTTTTAAAACTGTAAAAAAAAAAGTGTATCTCGTCAACCTGTAAACCATAAACCAGTTTTGCCCATTTTTAAATTCCCCTTAGCTTTAAAAAGTTCATTTTCTGGTTTCAATTTTTAAAATCTTTTTGAAAACTTGTTTTCTACCTTTTCATACCCCTATATGTATTTTCCTTAACTACGAGAATATATCCTAGAATGTGGCTTATATAATTCCTTCAATTTCAAAAGAACCATATACCCTATTTGGCCACTAATATTAAAGTCAGAATATCCAGGGAAGACTCAATATCACCAAAAACAATTTTTGCCCTATTTATTATTTCTCCTTGGCCTTTTTAAAAAAACAAACAAACAAACAAACAAACAAACAAAAAAAACCACCTATTTGAGGGACCAGCAGTTAGTGTAATGGCTATGTCACTAGACTCCCATGTAGTCGATCATGGTTTGAGTCCCGAACCTGGTAGTTTAAACTCACACCAGGCACGTGTGTGTGCATGCCCAAGATCCTGAGAGGAGAATGGAGGAGAAGGGATTGCAGTATGGCGATCCCCTCTGGGGGGGGGGGAGTGATTT